GTTTCAAAGATTCAACATCACCGTGCGGACAAAGATCTTCAAGGATGATTCCTGAGGCGTGTACGGATCTCAGCCACCCGCTAATTAATTAACGTCGCTATAACGAACCACACACGCTCTTCACCACACCGATCCTCTCACACCGTACGCTTCTGTGTTTGTCCTGTGTACATATGTAGATAATATACACACTTACATCTTTACTTATACACACATACACAAGTTTACGCGTAAACTTACACGTAAGTCATATACACGTACACACGCAGACGCACACACAATTATCATACACACGCATTCGAGAGAAGATTAAGTTAATCTCGTCTATACTAGGCGAGTACCGGGTGTTTTTCACGAATCAGGCTCAAAGTCACGATTCAATTTCACTCCTTGATACTCTATTATGCGAGAAACCTGTCTTTATTTATGGCTCGTACCAAACGTCTCGTTTCTATCGATCTTGCTATTTCGTTTCGTGTACAACGGTGTTCAACAGTGTTCATGCGTAACCCACCATCATGTTACAGAGAAAAGACAGAGGAGAATAAGGGAGCATAAACGTTGGTTGGTTTCACTCTCTGGTAAAGGAGAATCTCTTCATTAGGCCGGTGAAAAATGATTATTTTAATTGGTACACGCGTGTCACGGCTGTTTATAGACGGCTGGATGCGTGCACTTACGGTGCAAATCCAAACGGTATGCAAATTAGCGTGACCAAGGCAGCGCGAGCGGTAGGCGGAGCAGCTGTTTCCTGCCAGCCAATTGCCGAGTGCCAATCTTTTCATCGCAAATAGAATCAGCAACACCTTTTCACAACACACCGCTCTTCTCTGCCCCCCCCTCTTCTGCATCTCTTCCTCTCTTCCGCTCGTGTGCTATCTTGCGTTATGAATCGTATCGTTGACAGAAATTAGTAGGAGTTTCTGGATAATGACAATTGGATGTGGTTTAATTGGGATCGTTAAATCGGTCGAACGAGGTTAAATTAGAATATTTCCAAGATGTTTGTCACAAGTTGAGATGTGTCAATTATTTCCACAGTGAAGATTAGATGGTTAGGGCTATCCCGTGATGAGATTATTCGTATGTAAAATAAATTTGCGACACGTGTGTCTCTTTCTGCCGTGCTACTTTGTGTTTTATGAATCGTGTCGTTGACAGAAATTAATAAGGAGTTATTTCTGGACGCGAAAGGAACTTGAGTACTTTAATTAGAATTCTTAAATCGCTCGACCAGGAAATGGTAGAATGGTAGTTTTCGACCAAGTTTCAATTTTTTAAAAATTATTGAAATATCGAATATTTTCCGGTGAATTTTATATCGTTAGGATTATTTTTTATGAATATTTATTTTATGTAAAATAAATCGCGAATATTATTTGAGAGATATGGTGATATAACGAGTGATAAGAATTGTGATTTGTCAAAATTGCGGATTAAGTTCAATTTTAATTCAGAAAGGGATTTATCAAAAAGATAATTTTATTTTTTTATTTTTTATTTTTTTTAATTTTTAACAATTTCCAATTTTAAATTTTAACTATTCGTAAATGATTTTAAATATTAGGAATAGGAATATTTATTCATTTTATATATTCTGGAAGCATGCATAAATTAAAGAAAAATGGGAAACGCATATCAAATCTTTACCGGATCTCATTTATTTTACAAGTAATCAACCAAAGAAAATCATACTTTCTGAATACAGTTTTCAAAACTACATTGAAAAGAAGTAATATATATATCCAAATTATTTCAATTAAAATCTAACTCTTGAACAATCGTTGTACACGAAAAACCAGCCTAATATGTCAATATCATAACCAAACGAGAAAAATAAGAGCCTTCAGGTTTTGCTTTTTTCCTTTAAAAAGAAACACCCGGTATAAGATAAAAAAAACACTGTCGTAGCGTAAGTTAGGCCGTAACTTATCATTTATTCGCAGTTCGCAGTCTGTACATAAAAGAAAAAGAAGAGCGAAAACTTCAAGTGCGAGAAACAAAAGTAAAAAGAGAGAAAAAGAGAGAGAGAGAGAAAGAAAGAGAGAGAGAATGTGATAGAGGATAAGGAATGATTGTGATACGAGTGAGAGATGCTTGGCAAAAGAATTGAAAAATAGTGTGTAGCCGGAACGAAAATGAAGAAATGAAGCGAGAATGAGTTATAATCGTGGAAGTGACAAAGTTTACATATACACACACACATATATATACATACACATACACACCACGG